TTTTTTCAACGAAAAGTAGTCACTGTATTTCAGAAGCAGCTTTCACTCTCGTAAGAACAGTCAAGAATTTGTTTCCTGTGTTTTTCATAACATTTTGATGTACACTACCAGATTTTTCTAGTGTTCATCTGCTTTTCAAGAAACTAATTGGAAGGTGTTTTATTGGAAATCCAGAGTAATATGGTCTAGTTCCAGTTGGTTGGGAAGTGATGTCTTCTCCTGAATTTTTTTTCATATTGTCATTTTCAGATGGAAAGGAGTTGGATCTCGCAACAGTTCTACAAGCGTTTAATCCGGTTAGTCGATGAAGATTTAGATTATATTGAGTGGTTTTGGCACTGGTATTTTCGAGTAATGTGTCAGAGTTTTTTGCAGTCATCTCCCTTCTCACCACAGCAATGCGTGCTTCAAGTTGCGCAGCCTGCTTCTACAGTTGCTTCTGCTCATCCTGAAGAGCCATTGTATGTAAATGCAAAACAGTACAAAAGGTGATTTACATTGAATTCTTTCTAGTTTTTCTTACAGTTTATTTTCGGGTTTATTTTTTTAGGATTATGAGAAGGCGAGAAATTCGTGCCAAGTTGGAACAAGAGGGAAGGGTCGCAAAAACTCGTAAGGTTAGTTTGTTGTACCTCAAATAGATAATATTCAGTCCTGCTTAATAGAACGGTTGTTGTTACAAAAGGATTACAGTTACTGTAGCCATGGAGCATTATCTTCGTTTTACTCTAGTCGGCGTTTCAGATTTTGTGCGCTTGTGTTGAACAAGATAATGTAGTGTTGTTGAAAGCGGAGTAGGTTTAATGAAATGTTTTTCGAAATGAATAAATTCGATTTGAGCAATTTTTCGCAGTCATATCCAATTATATTTTGTGAAAAAAGTCATTCATTCGTATGTTATTACGCAATTGGTTGAAAGGTTTATTCATTTCTAGCTTATACTGTGGCGCATAGATGACTAGCCATGGATAGGAAGATAAAATTAAGTGGAGGTGAGGCAGGATAGGGAAGTAATTGCACTGCGCTGAGATTGGACTTGCGTGGTTCAGTTTCGCTGATCTCTACTAACTAGACAGCGTGCTGGTTAACGTATCTGAGGATTTTATGTATTTTGAAAAGCTGACAACGCAGAAGGCAGAATTCATACGGCTTTAGTCTTGTCAAAAAGTCCGTGAACTTTTTTACAAGAATTTTGAGTACTAAAGAGCTTGAGATGGGATGTTATTGTTTTACAATTTGTGTTCAGAAATTGTGACGATGTCTTTTTGATTTCAGAAGTACCTTCATGAAAGTCGACATCGGCATGCTCTTACCCGACTACGCGGAGAAGGTGGGAAGTTTGACAAGGGAGCTGGTAAAGAGGGAAATAAGAAGTCTATTGATATTGTCAATCAAATCCGCACAATATTTCGGCCTGCTTGGATGGATCGTACTCTTGCTCCGGCGCTGCTCCCTCCCCCACCACCTAGTCGAGATGGTCAACAAGAAGTTGTATGATAGATCAGTGTAATTAAATTTTTTGTTATCATTTAGGCTAGTACGTGTGCAGTTGGTCGCCAAGTATCATTCTAACAATTTGGTTCCAATATATTTTCCAAACGCTCATGAAGTCCCATTCCTTTGGCATCCCAGCTTGACTCCCTCCCTGCTCAGAATGAACTCATTAGCCGTAGGAGCACTGCGTGTGTGTGTGTGAAGGTCGAGGTAAAATTACTTTGTATCTAGGCGGCTAGGAGGCTAGCTTTTAGATGAGGCAAGGTCATTTGATTCCAACTTCAACCTTAACTTTTACCGAGCATAATACAGTTATGGTAAGGCAGTGCTTCAAGTTTGAACACAGAAGGGGTTCAACCAGAGGGGTAAAGGGGATAGAATTTTGCAAGTGTTTCAAGACATGGCTAAACCATTAGAATGATGTTGTTCAAATTTGACGTCTTAAGATGGCTTGGATACGTGCTGGCTGAATTTAATTTTATGTGCTTAATCACCATTATTTATGTTGGTTTTGTTAGAATTTTAGTTTTTATTTGATCTATTTTGGTGATGAATAGTTTGTTATTTTCATCGCTACTACTCAATGGTATTACTGATATTTCGTGATTACGATAGTGATTTAATTTTTGGAGTTTGATCTCATAAATGAAGTATCGTTCGGAGTTTAACACGGAGTGGTGTGGGAGAGTTTCGACCAGAAGACGAAGGAGATATTGGAAATAAGTACAGCTTCTGGTCCTGCAATGTCTGCTCGTTATTTGGAAACAGTTTTGAAGAGTGCATCGTTGAGTGGGGAGAGGAGAGTATCTTTTCTTGGCTTAGCGTCGTAGTTCGAGGGGTGGAGCTCCATCCTGTGGTAATGTGAGGCTTGCTTGCAGGGGCCAGTTTATTTGATTGCAAGCGATTTGAGGTGGGTTTGTCGACAGCATTGTTCGGTGGGGGAAGTTTGTTCCATTTGTAATTAGACTAAGCATGTGGCCAGGTATTGCGTGGGTCAGTTATGCAAAAATGGAGTTTTAAACTACCTGGGTACATGGTTGGGGAGGTCCTTGTATGGTGATCGGTTGGTCCGGTTCTGTGGTTTGCTTGTTTTAGAGAGGCAAATTTAGTGTATGCAACAAAACCGGCGCGTACAGGTGTTTTAATCAATTGTTGGTGAGACATAAACTCAATTTATGGAACATCTTTGGGATCTGGAAAAGATTATGGGCGGTGCGAAGTTACTAATTTATTCAAGCACTGTGGTGGAAAATAACAGGAAGATGTTTGCGTTGTTCGTCGGTAGCTAACGTCAGCTTTACTTTGCAGCTTAAGAGAGGACAGAACAAAATTAGAAGAAATCCTGCCAATTTGAAATAATTTTAGAAATCAGCATTGATGAATGGATGCCTCGTCCTCCATTTTTTGGTGTACCATAGCGCAATTTGGATATTCTTTTAGGCCTTATGGGAACTTCAGTTGATGTACTGATAAAGTAGTTCATGTATTTTTTTTTAGGAACTTGCAACTTGGTACCTACAAGGCTTTGGTTGATCTGAAATAAGGTAGACTAACTGTAAGGAATTAAGATATGAAGGGCTGATTGATAAGCTTTTATGTTACTGTAGTTTTTTTAACAGATTGCATGTCTCTAGTTTGAGTAGTTGGTTAAAAATTCATTAAGACAAGTTTGTTGATTCTGTTAAAAGTGGCAATTTTGCGACAGGTTTACAAAGTACGTAATAGCCACCTACCTGCGTACAAACTTGATGTATTTTCAAACGGCTAAGTTGAAAACTAATCATTTTTTATAAAACCTTCAGGTGATTTTTGATAGGAACAAATATTATT